CCAGTGCCTCCGGCGGCTGCGGGGACGCCCCCTCCTACGAGACCCTCAGCCGACGCACCAAATTTGGGGATCCCCTCCCCCACCCCGGGCTGGGGGGCACGACCCCCCCTTGCGGGGGGTGCTGCCGCTGAACCCCTCCCCCACCGCACCCCAAAAACCCCCCTTTTCACCCCAAAAATTAAAAAATCCCAACCCCTCCCCACCGTGGTGGTGGGGGGGGGTGGGGGGTTTTTTGGGCTGAAAAGGAGGGTTTTTTGCTCGTTTGGGTTCTTTTTCTTGACGCCTCGCGGGAGCCGAGGCCCCTTTCCCCCCCACCACCCCCCCTTTATTTTTTTTCCTTTCATTTCCCGTCGTTTTGGTTCATTCCGAATAAATAATGGTGAAAAAAATGAGGAGGGTTTGGCTTCTTCCTGCAGGAGGGGGCGGGGCTTCTGAGCGAGGGGGCGTGGTCTTAGAGCGGGAGGGGGCGGAGCCTCAGCGCCATAGAGTGGATTATGGGGGCGTGGTCTGGGTTCCGAGGGGGCGTGGCCTAGACTCAGGGGGCGGGGTCTCATCCGCCCAACCACTGGCCGCGGCGGGTTGGGGGCGTGGTTAAGGGAGGGGGGCGTGGCCTAAGCGCAAGGGGCGTGGTCAGGAAAGTGGGAGCCTATAGACGCGCGGTTTGAGCTAAGCGCCCGGTGGGCGTGGCTAATTTCGAGGGGGGGCGTGGTTATGCTCGATGGGCGGGCCAATAAGAGCGCTTCTAGGCGGTGGGGCCGTGGATTTGAGACTCTAGGGGGGGAGTCAAGGAGGGGCGGGGCGCGCCCTCTGCCGGAAGTGAGGCGCCACTTCCGCTTCCGCCGCCGCCATGCCGTTCGCCTCCCGTCTCGCCGGTTCCCTCCTCCGTTCCGCGGTCAGGCCCGGCCCGGCCCGGCGGGGCATCATCTCGGGGCCGCCGCAGAATCCGCTGGGGCCCGGGGTGAGCGCGGGGGAGGCGGTTTGGGGGAGGAAAGGAGGGAGGGAGGGAACCGGGAGGGGGTAGATGGCACCGGGTGACCTTGTGAGGGGGAGGCACCG